AAAGGAAAAATAATGGCAGTAATGTTTAAACAGGATTGAGAATTAAGCTGATGCTGACTCACAATGGATACCAGTGAAACAGAAATAGGTAAACCAGCTGTTTGATAAAACAAATAGTATAAAAATAAATAAGCCACTTTTCAACACTAATTATTAACTAAGAGCCTGAACGTAGACCTCTGAGCAACCAATATTGTCTCCTCATTTCAGAAATAAAATCTTGTACCAAGTGCAAAATGGTTCAGATTTCTTTCTATTGTACAGTGAGTGCTCTTTGGAACAGACGGAATGTTTGTTTTTATTTAACTACTTCTCTCATCCCCACCATTTTTTATTTTTCTAAATTTGCAACTATCAGCAAACACACTGGTAAGACATGGTGGCACATTGCTTCCCATAAAATAATACTTCACGTGAAGAACTGAATGTAAGGCAAAAAAGTGGTAGAGATCAGAAAGAAATACAAATTAATGTCTGCCATCTGGTAATAGGGTCAAATAGTCAAACACTGAGGAAAAAATATTTCTATCACAATTTATCAGAGAACCAAAACACAAAAATTTGGATGTTGGGCCAAGAGTTTTTTATTTAACATGCATATCCAGGATTAATTAAAGTATTTAAGTTCCATCAAATTGGAAAGGAGAGGAACCAAGAATAATCTTTATCAAGTTTTTACTAAACATAGGATTTGGAATGTTTTGTTCTTATTTGAGCATGAATAAACTCAATGATAATAATGAGGGAAACAAATGAAGCTGTATGAAAATCTCTTTGTTGCCAGAGTTAATAAAAAAAATTAGACAATAATTTTAGAACTCTATTAGGCATCTTTAATAATTTACAGGATTTCATGGCTTCTGAGAAAGATAATTAACATTTTATTTTTGAGGCAGGCTCTGTCACCCAGGCTGGAGTATACTGCATAGCTCACCACAGCCTAGAACTCCTGGGTGCAAGTGAGCCTCCTACCTCAGCCTGCAAGCTGCTGGGACTGCAGGTGTGCATCACCACACCTGGCTAAGAACTAACCATTTAAATAACATAAATACTAAGGTAAGGAGTCAAGATAAGGGAAAATTGGAAATGGTAAACAGAAAGCACCAATGACCTAAAAAGTCCAACAGCAAAATTAAAAACCATAATATAAATTGTAAAATTAATACTAATACATTAAATATGAATCAGGAATATGCAGAAGAGATCTCCCAGCATGCAAGTAGAAAATGTTTCTAAAAAGGAGGAGGGATGAAGTGATATATATAGAAAAAAGCAGAAACCTAACATAAGAACACAACCAATTTGGAAAAATGAATAAATCGAATCACAATGAAAGCTATAAAATAAATATTTCCAAGATCATTAAGGAGCAATCTTTTTAAGAAGCAATATATTACTATATTTCTCCAAAAATCAATTGAGATCTTTAGACGGCCTGGAAATATATACACATTTTTACATGGTTGGATAAAATATCTTAATATGGCAAGTAAAAATGTTTTTTATCAAATGAACAAGTACTGGGTTGCTGATTTCTCAACAATATTTATATAAGAATGTAGGGAAGATTTATGTAAGAATGTCATATCTTTAAATAACAAAGTTTATGACACAGGAACTTAAAATCCATCCACATTCTCTTTCATAAATGGAGGCCACAAAAATATCTTTATAAATGCAAGAACCTAGAAAATCCAACATTTACATATAGTATTTGAAGAAAATGGAGAGTATGATAAAGGCAAACGGATTAAAAATTATGTATATTAACTCAGGATTGAGAAATTTATGGTAACAATGGACTATAACTGGGCAAGGGGACATGGAATTTGGTAAAAGTATATTTGTAAATTGGAAGTAATATTAGCTTAAATAGTAAAATATAACTAACACATATATAATACTGAAATCCACAATAAAGGCATAATTGTCAGCCTCAGACTTTATTTTTAAAATGTGAGAAAACTATAGGACAAAAAGATGCAAAGGTAATTGTACAGATAAGGTGCTCAAAACTATTCCATCATTTTTTCTCTCAATAATATGATATAAATAAATAGGGAGGTGAATTCTTAAAAACTCCTCAGTTATGCAACTTAAATAAGCAGGTGTATCTACACAAAACACTGAATATAGGAACATGGGTTATTTCATTGTATATTTCTTGCCTGGATTAGTATAATGTTTAAAGGGATGACACTTATGTGTCAGGAACCTTTATGTTAATTCTTTGATCTCCAAAGCTTTAGAGCTGAAAGGATTTGGAAGCTGTTGTCAGTAATGGCAGGGAGAAAACTGCCATCTTATTTGATATCACTTTGATATTTGGCCTCTTTTTAGTTCTATGGATTCAGAAATCTTTTAGGGTCATACCTTGATATATAGTGGACAACACTTTTGTCTTAAAATCTAGATAAAAATATTTTTAAATTTTATTATTGAATATCTTTAGTCCCAAATTATAAAAACCTATTATTATTTAAAATATAGTTTTTCTAGTATGTCTTGGTCTTTGGTCTTTTAATGAGTATAGAAGCAATAAATTAGTTCTCTGTCACAATTCCAATTTTGTTATAATTCCAGACAAAAGGATTGGAGTGCATCATTTTTTGCTGAATAAATTTCGTAAAATAAATAAAACATAGCAATGTACTGATGAAATATCAGTGGCTAAGCAAATGTTTCTCCCTTAGTTTTATTTCTCTAACTCATTTAGAACTAATAAAACTTTAATTACAAGGCAAGGTGAAATAAAGACTTTAAATTAATTTGTCATAATCGTTACTAAAGTGATCATCTCTTTGTATAAATTAATGAAATAGAGAAATAGAAAAGTAAATGAATTGAAGGAAAGTTTATCTAAAGGCTATTCTTTAATAATTTTATTTTTAGAAAGACTGTTTTCTCCAAGAAATAATGAAACCTATATTAAAATTACTAGGTAAAGCATTATTTACTAGACCTCGCCTTAATAATCACTAAGGATTCAAACTTTAAACACTAGAAAACAGAATTTATGTCTTTATCCTTAATGAATTGGAATGTCAGGAAAGATGACAACATTCTATGCATTCCAACAAGAAACAGACAAGTCTTTGTTGAGAAGTGTCATTTGCATAAAATGTAGTATCTGAATTTTTTTCCAAGTTCTTCTCAAAAATCAAATGTATAACTTTGTGCCAATTTATATTTATTTTCTAATTTCCTTTATACATTCTCTCCACAAAAATTTGCTTACAACCCCCAACCAATTCAATATTTTTACTATTCTCATTGTCAACCAGATTGTTATTTCTAACATTTTAAACAAAATAAGTGGTTCATGTTTAATAGTCCCAAGGTAATATGTGGAGATGATATATAGTTTTAGGTAATTTTAAGATGAGAAATTATCTTCATTTATTCTTTGATTTTTTAAGTATCTATTATGGTTTAGGTGATGAAAAATATATATAAACAGTAAATAAGAACCTTTGTAATTTTATAGTACTTGAATTATGGTATTTGCTGAAAATAAAAATAAATCCTTGACACTCTACCGAGGAGAATTGTTTAATTCTCATCTCTTTTATATATTCTTAAGAATATCTAGAAGGCTCATCTACATAAGTTAAGAACACTAAACTTGCTCTGCAATCATTGTGAAAACAAATGTCTTTGATTTCCTAGTAGCTATGTAATTCACAAAAGTAAGATAAAATAAATTTTAAATAAATTTGCATCTACAAATTGATTTATGTTTGTACTATCTTAGGACATAATAATATTTCACAAATAAAATATCAATTATAAAAATGTGTATTCCATATAAAGAGGCTTAAAATTAAGTCAGATGTTGCATTGAGAAAATTTTCTACACATACCCCCTTCAAAGATGTTTAATAATATTTTATACTTAAATGAAGATATACAAATGATACATTTAGCACTCTTTCTCTTTCTCTCTCTCTCTCTCACACAGGTATATGCATGTTCTTTTAAAAATTCAGAATGCTGGTAACAAATAAATCCTTGAGGGGGAAAAAAGCTCTTTATATTCCAAATTACTGAGAAAATGTTCAGCTATTTTTTTCTACTCTTATTATTTTATACAGGGAACCTCAGGTATAAACTTCTTACAGTATTTTGATCAGATTTAGAAAATAGTTGAAAGAGGAAGAACAAAGGGAGATGATATAAATGACAGAAAACTTAAGGCATCTTTGGATGAAAAAAGAATCTGAATCAAGAAAATGTATTTTTTGATGCTGATTACACTTTGAAGAAAATAAAGTGAATTAAGGAGCAAGAGATGACTGGGCAGGAAATTAGATAGGGTAGACAAGGATGGCCTCTCTAAAGGCAGCCATTGAGCTGATACTTGAATGATAAAAAGGAGTAGGCTATTAGAAGTTATGAGTCAAGTGTTGTACACAAAGAGGAAAATACAAAGTAATGGAAATAGCCATAACCCATTAGAGAATATGTGAGAAGCCTTACATGGTTGGAACACAATCAGTACGCGTTTCAGAAGAAGAGAGTAAAGACAGGAAAATACAAGGTGGGATGAGCTAAAGAGTTTATACCTTATTTTGATTAATGGGAAATAATTATTGGGTTTTATGCTGAATAATATTTGTAACCGAATTAGAATGTGAAGATTACCACAGCTGTCTCACAGGTCATCAATAGTTTGGGAACAAGAGAATGTTTTAGAACTGTTAGCAGGTTACTGAAAAGTTTATTTAAAATATATTAGAGACTTTAAGTAAGACCAAGGCAGTAGTGTTTTAAGAAATAGTCCACTTTGGATACTTATTGAAAGAATAAATAGCAAGATTACATAAGGATACAATGACTGGAAGGATCAAGGAGAATGCCTAGTGCTTTGGTCTGAGACTGGGTAAATTGAAGTAGTATTAACTATGATATATAAAACAGACAAAAGCAATTTGGTAGTGGAGAAACACCAGAATTTCATATTCAAAATCCAAGACCAAATATTGGAATTAATAAATTCATCTCAGTGATGAAAACTTTGTCAAGTTATGCTACTGACATTAAGTGATGATGAAGTGTGTCTGAGGATAAAATAAATAAGTAAATTTACTTATCAGGAAAGTGTTGTTCGAGAAGTGAAAATGACAAAACTGAAAACAAGTGTTCTCTGACATTTTATGGTCTGGAGGAGACAGAAGAGCAAAGGCACAAAGAGTGATCAGCCAGTAAGCCCTGAGGGATGCTAAGAGAATGTAGTAACATAGAAACCAATGCCAGTGTTTCTAGAATTAGAGTGTTAACTGTGTGAATGCTAATGGGAAAGTTGAATATGGGCAATAGACTTGAATCGACCATATGGTGCACACTGGTGACCCTATAATAAATTTCAGAGGTGCAGTGACAAGGATGAATGGAGGAGACTGAAGAGAATGTGCAGTGGATGAATGGAGAAATCATGTATCTGAGTCCTTCAAAAATTTATTCTAAAAGTGGACAATGTTTATTTGATAGTAGTCAGAGAAGTATCATGTTCAAGAATATGGGACCTAATATATCAAGTGCTATACAAATAGTAATGTGTTTATAGATGATTTTCTAGTCAAAAACAAGGCGGGAAGGAACTTTCTAGCTCCCAGAGTAACTAATATAAATATTTCTTATAATGAAATGCATTTTAAAATGTCAGCATTTCAAGAAAGAATATTTTTTTACAAATTTACTTTTTTTTAACATTAATAGTTAACATTTATAAAGTAACTTCATTATTTTCTTATATTTTGGCTGATGAGGTTCTTGGAATTTTTCAAAAGTCTAATAATTGAAGATTTCCCCTCAACTCCCTCCGCATATTCTAGGAAGGATAGGTAAGTATAGGAATATACATAGTTCATTGTTATTACATCAATGTAAATCAGGAAAGGCTGAAAAAGAAACCTCCCTGAACACTGAACTGGGAAGGAAGTGGTGATTTATTGGGCCAGGGACTGCAGCAGGTCTGGATGCCCCAGATAGCCAAGCCCTGAACAAAGAAAATCCCTGCCCTTATAGAGGCTTACATCTCTAGAAATTACACATGAAAGCTTCTTGGGCTTACAACTGTAGAAATTACATGTGAAAGGGTCTTGGTCCATGGAGTATGCCTGGGGTATGTGGCTTAGGTGGGGATTTGATCCTGTTTAAGTAAAAACAATGTCTTCCAGAAAGATTCCTTCATACCATGCCTGCAATCTTTAGGAGAGTGATTAAAGGTGGTGCCCAGTCTGCCAGCCTTTACTTCTCCTACTGCAATGCAATGTGGAAGTCAAGGGGGAGATGGTCTTAGATGCTTAGGTCTCCTTCCTCAAATGTAATGTAATAGTTGGTCCGACCAACAATTTCTTTTAAAGTACTGCTACAACTTATCTACATTTTATAATTAAGGTGAATGTCAGTAATTTCATCAAATTACAATCTTTTGTTATTAAATGTATTATTCTGAGATGTGTGATTTCTGTATCCTTTAATAGAAATATTTTGAATAGCAAACATTTCTCTTTTTATGGAGTCAGTATCAAGATTTGTTTTCTCCACCTTGTTGAAACCTATGCAAATATCTCTTGAATAATTGAATTGGCCCAAACTTGGTGGAACTATGCCTACTCATATTTGTTTATGAAATACATCTATTTTCTACCAGAGGAAGCAAAGAGTGTCACATAATAAATGACTAGAAGGACCTCTGTCATGTAAGGCAGAAATTTCCTTACTTCCCATGTGTTTTGGTCTGTTTTGTGTTGCTATAAATGAATACTCTGTGGCTGGGTAATTTATAAAGGAAAAGGTTTATTTGGCTCACATTTCTAATAATCTAGAAAACTGAATATTGGCCATCTGCATCTGGTGAAGGCTTCAGTCTCTTTCTAATATGGGAGTTATTAAGAAATAATTTTTAGGCAGCTAGAAAGGGTGAAAGTTCCAGGTGAAATTTTCCTTTAACAAAGCAATTCCCAAACTATTTCTTTTTTTATCAGAAGGGGCTTGAATAATCACACCTGCAAGCACAGATATGCAAATAGTGGCAGCTAGAAGCCAGGTCCACCCAATATGGTGGCTCTTGCCCTCTTTCCCTTGTCACCAGGTATGCCAGGTGTCATGGCAGTCTCCAGATAAAACCATGTGTGTGTGATGGCCAGTTTTCTTGCGGCCTATGTAAATGACACACCTGGTCAAACCAATACCCTGGGTCCTGTGTAAATCAATTACCGACTCCTCCAGCCTCTGTACAAAACCAGTTGCATTCCACCAAAAACCAGAAACCCTCTTTTGGGCTTTCTCAACATGACAAAGCTTTTTCTTTCACTTTTCTTCTCTTTCTATTAAACTTTCTGCTCCAAACCCACTCCTCATGTGGGTATATGTCCAGAATTCTTTCTCAACCAAGACCAAGAGCCAGGATGTATACCCCAGACCATAGAGCCATTTCACTTCCACTGGTGGCAGAAGGCAATAAAAGTCAGTGTGTGCAGAGATCACATAACAGGAAAGAAGAAAGAGAACAGGGAGGTTCAGCCTTTTAATGGGAATAAAGGAATATTTTGTGTCTGGGTAATTTATAAAGAAAAAGGTTTATTTGGCTCACATTTCTAATAATCTAGAAAATGGGGAAGTATTTATTTAGCAAATAATTTTAACTGCTTCTTGGTACCCAGTCAGATAGTGTTGTGAATAAACTTCAAGTTCTGTATTTCAAAGGTGATCTTCTAAAAGTAAGAATAAATGTTCTGCCTCTTTCCATTATCTAGTTTCATGGTTACCTGTAAGAGATCTATCATTCTATCTCTAGGTATTACTATTAAAATAATAAAATTACCTTACATTATAATTAACCTCTATAACTCATTAACCTTACGTTGTAATTAGCTTGAGACTTCCTGAAACAATTGTTTCTTGGCTTAGATATTCTAATCTAGTCATAGTTACCACATTTTAGATACATGTGTACATTCTCTCATGATACAATCACTATAAATTTATTTTTCTCTATTGGGCCTTTCTCAATTATAGCATGAGAAATGCAGATTTCAGAATTTTAGACCCTTTTAAGTACATAATATTTTTAATGACCTTGGTTATAGATGATACAATTATGCTTTACCTGAAGTATTTGAAATGAACTTTGCTAATTGTAAGTATTTTGAGTTTTTTCTTCCAAAGATTAAATCTTTCGCCTTTGGGCTTCTTTTTTTTTTGAAATCCAAGATGTCAAGACCAATACCTACAACTATTTAATTTCCTTCTCTTTGACCAAACAGTTTATCCTTTTGGGGCATAAGCAAACCAGTAGAGTAATTTCAACATCATATCTTTAATATCTGCAATTATAGGGAACTTTGCTTGTTAGCTTCCATAGATCTCTATTCTAAATAATCTGTTAGTGATGATAAATTCTGCAGCAGAGTCTTTCCTGGGCCATTAACTTTCTGTAAGGGGAAAATGGGTGTTTCCAGAAGTACCACTGAAGCAGATTGGGCTGTGGGTAGAGGGTTGGGTATTTGTCTTGAGAATTAGAAACTACAAAACCCTATTGATATGGTTTGGCTCTGTGCCCCCACCCAATGTCATCTTGTAGCTCCCATAATTCCCGTGTGTTGTGGGAGGGAGCTGGTGGGAGATGATTGAATTGTGGGGTGGATCTTTCCCATGCCCTTCTCAAGATAGTGAATGGCTCTCAGGAGAGCTGACGGTTTTAAAAATGGGTGTTTCTCTGCATAAGCGCTCTCTTTGCCTGTTGCCATCCATGTAAGATGTGACTTGCTCTCCTTGCCTTCCACCTTGAATGTGAGGCCTCCCCAGCCATGTGCAAGTGTAAGTTCAATAAACCTCTTTCATTTGTAAACTGCCCAGTCTCAGGTATGTCTTTATCAGCAGCATGAAAATGGACGAATACACTTTTGTACACGACTGATTTTTAAAATCAGTTTAAATAAACACATATTTACAGTTGTTAAAGAAGTCGTAACTAAGTTTGACCTTGTCTTCATAAATTTCTATCAAGAAAAACACATAAAAGTGTTGCAAAATCTTTTTCACCTTACTAAAATTCTTGTCCTGTATTCTCTAAAGGCTTGTGGCCTATGGGCAAAGGGTTCTACCACCAATCCTAGTTGCCTGACAGACAACATCAGCACTAGGTGCCAGGGCTGACTGATAGCTAAAGATTTCAGCTCTCAACCAGAGCCCCAAGAGTATGGTTAGATTCTGTCCTACATGTGACTTGGTGTTTAGCAGATGATAAAGAGCATGTGAAAATACAGTATTGACTCCTATTTCTGAATATTCTAAAATTTCTGTTTTTTTTCTGGTGTTATAGTAAATAAAATTTAGTCCACTTCAGAGAAATTAACATAGCCTGATATTAGGAATGATTAAGACTAAAATAAAATACAATATATTTTGTTCACTTAGTTTGTTGATAGACTATCTTCAACTTGTTTCCTCAGAATTTCTAAGGATTTCCCTAAGGTACAGCAAAGAGCATAAATAATGAGAAGCCTTTTCCAAAAACCTACTTATAAACCAAAAGATAATTTTGCAAATTTCTAATATTATTCTTGTATTTTTTTAGGAGAGATCACGAAATTTGATTTTCAATATTATCTTTTACTCATTTATCATTTCTAAATAACAAGCAATATTTTCCTTCTGGCCTGTGAACATTCACAGTACCTCAGTCAAACCTGTATTGTAGTGCATACCATTTTTAAAAATTGATAAACTACCTTTAGATCAGGTTTAGGTTTATGAAAAAATGAACAAAAAGTACAGAAAGCTCCCATTTAACCTTTCTCCCACCCTCTCATGCTCACACAGTTTATCCTGTTATTAACAATTTTTTATCAGTGTAATATATTTGTTAAAATTGATGAAAAACAATGATACATTGTGTATTATTAACTAAATTTTATAATTTACCTTAGGGTTTACTCATTGCATTGTACAATTCTATGGGTTTTGACAAATGCATAATGTCAGATATTACATACAGTGATAAATAATTTAAAATATAGAATATGTTCATTGCTTTGAATGTGCCCTGTGCTCCATTTATTCA